AGCTATAGACCTCAGATTTAGGCCTACTTTATATGGATAGAAAGGTAAGATATAGGCCTACAACTTTCATATGGAGCCCAAGATCTGAAAAGCTCATTTTCAAGTCCAAATTGTAGCAACAACAAAGAAGTCCGAATCTGTCTTCCAGCCCAAGTATTGTTCAGTGTTTGGCCCATATCTGGAATTCTAGAAGTCCAAATGAGCTCAATGTTTTACACAAGAAATCTGAGATAATTTCCTACAACTATCATTTCAAGTGGCTCCAATTTTGACATTATCAATGACGTTTTGGGCAGACAAGAGAAGATAAAGATTGTCACCAAGTCAAAAGTTGGCCACCCACTCATTAATTAGTCATCAAATCAATAGTTCCCAATTTTGGCCTATAAAATGAGGCATTTTCCATGCATTTAGGCATCTTGGTTTCCAGATTAAGATCATGCTCTTGCTTTCTCTCTTTCTATTTTTTGTAATGTTTATGTTTTGCTTTCATTGATATTAAGTTTATACCTTTCATTTCCTTTCATTTACTTAGTTAACTTTTATCTTATTTATGTTCTTATTTTGTTTATTTATTTTTCTTTCTTTCATTATGTCTAGCTAAGTTTATTATGTCAAGGTGAAAAGGTTACACTAATGGTGTAAGAATAAGCATAGTGTAAACTTAATATGGACTTTAATGTTTGATACTAACATGTTTTGTATTTGTTATCTTGCTCACTCTTTAATACTTTGCTTGTTAAATGACTAATCTTGATTTATGTTAATACTTTGCTTGTTAAATGACTAATCTTGATTTATGTTGTATAACACTTGGTACAACAAATGCTTGGCACTTTCATAGCCCATACTGTATGGTATAACCGACACCTAAGCTATGAAAGGAACTTGATTTGTTGTTGACATAAGTTATAATCATGAATGCTTGACGAGATTTACAAGTATTAGCGTTAATCGAATAAGATGACTAATGTAATCATGTTAACAATCTATAATCTGATTGGAACCTCCTTTGTGTGTGGTTTGCAATTGAATAATAAGAATTTATACTATACTTGTTTGACATACCATTAGTGGATCCTCTAACCTTGACATTTGTTATTATCATTGTTTAATCGTTACATTAATATTCCATCTCCAAGTTCTCATCTTCTTCTTCTTCTTCTCTTTCTTTTTGTTTATTAGTATTATTATTATTACTACTACTACTACTACCACTACTATTATTGTTGTTGTTGTTGTTGTTGTTGTTGTTGTTATTATTGTTGTTGTTTATAATTATTATTTATAATTACTATTATTGTTGTTTATAATTGTTGTTTATAATTTATACAATTAACCTCTATGTGGTTCGACCCTGGTCTTGCCCGGTTATTTATTACTTCGACACTCCTGCACTTGGGAGAAAACATCAATCTTTTCGTCATGTCAGCCTGTATTTAAAATAAACATTTAGCATAATTAAAGGTATCTTATATTATTGATATATTATTATAAAACATGCTTTAGTTAAGGAGTTATTGATACGTTAAGTGCAAAATGATGATATAAAACCTTGATAAAAAATGCACTTTTAAGTATTAATCAGTTTTAGTTTTATTATTGTGTTTTGTTGTTTTTTATATTTGTTTAAGTATGTTTTAGGTTTGTCAGTATTTGTTATTTCAGGTGATGTCTTCTATACTCTATCTTTCTATTTTAAGACATTGAGGACAATGTCTCGTTTTAGTTAGGGGGGACGGTGGTAGTTGACAAAAAAATTAACTAATTGTGTTTTCTATTTTATAAAGCATGTGTAAAATTATTGTTACTAGAATGGCAGAGTAAAGGAGCTTTTTTGTTAAAGTGACTCTTGAGACGCATTTTAGTAACTATTCTTAACAAGATGTATCATAATACTTATTGAAATATTCAGGTTTACAAACTCTCACATTATTATCACTTAATTATGCTCATATGCTCATTTAATATGTATTCTTAAACCTTAATTTTCATAAATACACACACATACTTTAACATATGATTATGGGTTGCACATTATATTAGTACATTATTTATGTTCTTTTATTAAAAGTAACAATTAAGGGAAATGGATAGTATATAATTTGCAAAAAAAACAAACAAAACAAACAAAAGAGCAAAAAAAAAAAGATAATAATAAAAACATAGATAAGTTTGGTTTTGTAGCCTCCCTAACTTAAGCAATTAAGCCTAAAAGGGGTGTTTTAACATCTAATACCCTAAAGTCAACTAACTTGGGAGTTATTATCGTAACGCTTGTTACATGGGTTGAGGAGAAAAGCTTAAGGGAATCAAACATTGCACTATCACGTATCAGTATCTGCAATCCGAGTTACTAAGTTTATAGGGTGTCTCAACTCCTAAACCCTAAGACCAACTGGTCTGGGAGTTATTAGCCGAAAGCTCGTTACATGGGTTAAAAATGCATTGTGTTTTAAGTTACATGTCTATATATTTAAAAAGAAAAGAAAACGAAAAGAAAGAAAATCTCAACCCAAGGAAGTTAACCTTAAACATTAGAACAAAAATTTTGTTTTCTTCCAAGTGAAGCCTCATAACTATATGTTGATATGAAGCATAAAAGAAAGGTTTATTGATATTTTGTTTAACAAGTATTTAGCAGATATATAAATTTAATGAGAGTTTGTTTATCTGGATAGATTAATGGAAGTTAAATGATGAATACCTTGCTTTGTGAAATTTGCAAATTGTTTTAACGCTTTG